AACAAAGTTATAGGTCTGGTATTGTTTAAGTCATATTCCCATGGTTTAGGCTTGGGAATCGGATACACGAAAGCATGGTTCCATCTGTGTGTAAGTAAAGATAACTCTAGGCAATCACAAATAATATACCAGAGTAATTTTCTAGTCAAAGGACCAAGATATTTGAGCATTTCGTTAGATACCTTGGATGGTCTAGGGGCTTTACCATTAGGAAGTTGAGTGATAATACTATACCATTTATCAGCTGATGGCGGAATCATTAGATTATTGTATATGAAGCTGTGAACATTCTCTAATGGTTGATAGAATGGGAGCCACTTTTCGTCCATTTGCACATTCTCGTGAGAAGTTCCAGCTGCCATTTGAAAATGTCTAGCCACTTCCTTTTTGACATCATCTTCTTTAGTCAAGAGATCACGTGATGGTGAACCATTATTAATACATCTGTGATGATAATCGTTCGTTTAGAGCGGTCTATAAGAGAGTCAGTCATTCATGCAGGTGAAATATGAAAATTTTCCAATCTTCTTTCAATAGCGAGTTGAATAGATTTTAATTTAAACTCATGTTCGTGTAATTTTGATTTTACAAGAATGCAGCCCAGCAGCAAATCAATATCAGAGCAAATTAATTTGGCGATGATAACCGTAGGATTAGGAGGAAGCCTAACATATCCTATGCCAAAATCATTTATAATAGTGTAGAATTTTTCAATTGAAGTATACCATTGTGTAGGAAGACTGGATGTGATAACCATTTTTTTTTATCAAACTCTTCAATTTATATAGCAGCTTAAGATCTTTATATAATTTTGACAAGAGAGGAGGTCTCTTTATGGTATGGTGTCCTTTTGATTGGTGTGAAGAAATCGTAGAAGCTGCAGCCTTAATGATACATTCTTGTAAGAGATCCCAAAATTGGTTTAATTTATTTTGATCAAATACAGTCTTATTGTTAAGGCAATGTAAATAGCAACCATTAGTCAAAGCATCTGTCTTATTAGCGAAGGCTGACCAATTATCTTCAGTCATTTTGTCATAGTCATAGATCTTTTTCAAAGGAATATTTCTCTTATTATTTTTAACATCCAAGAAGTTTTCGATATACAGAATGACAATATAGTGATCAGTTAGAGTAGATGCAAGCTGAACAGTTTCACAACCTATGAAGTTTGAGATGACATCAACTGAAGACCAAACGTAATCTATCCGAGAAGATGATATTGGACCTTGATGAGTAGGATAATCAGATCTTTGTGTATCATATTTGACTATGAAAGTGTCAAACAAATTAAGGTTGTTCAGATTAGCAAAAAATCTTTTGTCCTGAGAATGCAGCTTAGGATTGTCAATGTCTGCGTTAAGATCTCTAAGAAGTACTGTATGATAATTATTCGCATATGCCTCTTGAATATATTTTAAGAGGTCTACTTGTATCTGTTTTCTGATAGTATGATTGCCAGGTGGAGGATAACAATTAATTACTCTTAACTTTTGTTTATTGGCGAATTGTAGATCTACAAGAATGATACGATTATGTTTAGATTTATGGTGAAAAATGTGATTCGCTAGGTGTGAACGAAGTAAAAGACCCACACTGAAACCAGATTTCTGTGGTTAAGAATCAGAGATTGAATCAAAGAAGCCAGTGAATTTGAATGCGAACATGCGGTTAAAAGTATATGTAGAAAAGGAAGAAAAGTTTGTCTCTTGTAGCCCAATAATATCTAAGTTGAGTGAAGAATACAATTCAACTACAG